CAGACTGCTGCAATGTTTATAACGGAAATTCCTGTCTAGTATTTCAAGCAGTAGGCTCAGAAAGTTTTGCCCATACATGGAAACTGATAAGACAGGCTCTGACCATGCTGCATGGCAATACACTGGATCCTATTACATACAGACCAACACTGAGTCCTCCATGTGGACAATTTGAGTCAATCCCAGTTACATAGGTACATGAATTTTAATATGAACAAAAAAGTGAAAAAAACATAAAGGAGTATTTTAAAAATTTTGAAAAAGCAGATCAACATAGAGTGGTCCATGTACACAGAGATGTATACTTTGCATGTAATAGAAAAGGATAAGACACAAAATGTGTCATCATCCAAGTTAATCCCAATTTCTTCCATGCCTCTCATCTTTTACAAATAACAAAAATAAATAAAAAATAATAATAATAATAAAATAAATAAATAAAAGATACAAACTTTTCATAATTTGGTATATGAAATGAAGAGCCATCAACAATTTCAAAGAAAAAGAAATGAAGGAAAAAAATAAATGCCAAAAAACAAAGTTTGCCTCCCCAGCTGCCACACTGCCAAATTTATTAGCAACAGGAACCACAGTACAGTCAAATAAACAGCTCAAGTGGCCTCATCCACCTCCTGATGAAAGAATATGCTCCATAAAAATTCCATTAAGTTCAAGAAAAAACAACAGGATCATGGAAAGGGACCATGAAAGTATGGCTTTTTTCATGTTACACTCATACATAAAAGAAATAATGCAATGCACTTAAAATATCACAATTATGTCTCCCAACAAGGAGGATGCCGCTGGCACATGTATCTTACTTCTCTTGATAGTAAAACTATTGACAGATCTCTGTAGGTTGGAAAGGAGGGCCTTTGCTGAAATACACACCTCCACTTTCTGAGAGGGGGGGGGGGGAACCCTTTAGTTTCTCTATCATCTGATATGTACTTCATACTTGAGTGCTAAATTTGAAATCAATACAGAATCACTTCATTGCATGGTCATATTGTTATACACAGATATGGGAAACTGAATGATTTCATTCTGTTCTTTTATTTACCTAACAGCATGTCTTGCACTCTTTAAACTTGCCTTGTGATTCTGCATGTGTTTATGATTTATGTATCGGCTTAACTGAGGGACAGAAGCATAAAATATATATGCTATGTACTGTAACAAATCTTTTGTGACTAACATTCTAGTAATGCGGTATTTAAGAGAGCCTATAAATGAAAAAATGTTAAATCTTAAAATCGTCAACATCATCATCATTATTATTATTATTATTATCATTGTTATTATTTGTGCACTTACTTGTATTCAAACAGGCTTATTCCAAGACACAGGATACCCAGAAAAGGCTATAAAGTGCAACTATATTGATTTTTGTCATTTATTTTATATGAACATAATATACCAGTGGAACCAGCCATGGCCTATATATCAAAGTTTTTGTGCAATGTCGGAGCCATCACATCTTTTTTTAAAGTTTATTATCATACAGCATATAACTTTAATTTTTCCAATACAGTATATTGTGGAGCAAACTTGTCCCCCCCCTCAATTTAAATATATAAATGTGACACTAAGCCATGCACAGGTGTGATCTCCCACTCAACTATGTAATGGAAAATCCAGTGACTGTGGAACAAAAGTACAAAGTATCCTCTGTACCGAGCTCTGATGAAACTGTTCAAAACATTTTGCTGCGCAAAGAAGCTTTCAAAATATAGAAGGTTAATAAGTGTTAGTTGCATTAATGATTTAACTAAATTCAGGTGACTTTTTTTTCTGCAAAAGCAGAAAAATCAAGGTTGCAAATAAACAGAGTGGTCACTCTTACATACACACCTCCAACAAGTGTCATCTTTGGGTGGGGTTCATTTCTTCCTAGTATACAATGCACTAAAAAAGAAATGGCAAAAAATTGATTCCCCCCTCCCCCCCAAATAAATGAATCGTTCGTGACCTGAGGGTTCTTGCTTTATTTCAATATTTTATTTTTGAAGAGGAAAAAAAAAAGGAAAATCAATTCAGTCAATATTCTCCACCAGTATGGAAATTCTGTACATTTTTGTACAGTGAAGAGTTCAATGAACTCCACAGGTCTTCACACACTGTAACATTGATGGGTATATTAATGCTGCATGCTAAGTGGACCACACACTTACATCTCTTTTAGGTCTTTATTGTAACATTTCAGGAGTGGTTCCTGAGATATTTTCTGACAGTCTTCCAAATTATCTTTGTTAATGCCCTCGCTATTTTTGATCATCTTCTGACAGAAAAAAATTTGATACCCATCTATGTAAACCTGAAAATCTGACCGTCTTTTGGAAGATCCAGAAGATGGGCTCAATCATCCCCTGCATTTACTGTGTATGATTTATAAATAATCCTGAAGCATTACAATGGAATATACCAGCTTTTTACAAACCCAAGAGTCAGAGAACTCCAGTGCATAAATGTTAAAAAAAGTGTAGGGGGCTGTTCAGAATGACTTACTGCACACTACCTAGTGAACTGCCCCTAACTCAGACCTACATGTAGCATCTGGCCAGAACATGAAGCTGTTACATAAATGACTTGGGTCAGAGCAGGGGAAAGTTGAGTACAGAATCACGGTGATAGTACAATAATAATAATAATAATAATAGTAATAATAATGATAATAATAATAATAACAAGAATAATGTCTAAAATCTCAGAAATATGCAGAAATGTGTTTTATGGGACATTGTATCTAAGACTGGTTTCCCACAGATTTAGATCGATCCAACCGGATCGACCTAACTCTCTGGGGGTTCACGCTAAATTGCTGTCAGCCGAGTGCCCATGGAAGTTAATTACCACCTTACAGCTTTTAGTAGGCGGGACAGGCATTTAAGCTGGCTAAACTGACAGCAATCTAGTGAGATTCCCCACGGGGATAGATCGATCTAAAATCTGTGGGAATGCAGTCTAATGCATTGTCTCATGCTAAAGGGGAAGTACCTTGCTATCTTCCACCTGATAAATATCGCAGGTATAAAAAAAGAGAGTGAAGATGTACATCTTGATATAGCTGATGATGACCAAAGGTCAATCAGTGCAGTGTTCTGACAGTGGTAGGTGAAACAGGGACATATCTCTCTGTCATTGTCACACACAAAATGTCACCATATTGTGCCTTAGGATAAAACTTGTGCACATACATATAAAGAGATAAAGTTAAAATGTCCCAGTTAAAGATGTTTTGGATTCATTTTTTCTTTAACACTGTGATGTGATCCAAACTGAAACAAATGGAAATAATGTAATAAAATATGTTCATCACAATAGCAACCATCTCCATGATGTCAATACAACTTTACTAGTAAGCATCTACCAACATTTGCCAGACTGATGCCAACTATACTGTATGTTTATCCAACCCTCAACCCTTGCCATAGTGATGCCAACTACGTCAATATTCAAATCCAAGCCCTGTCACAGAAATGTAAACTCTAATAAAACCCAACTTCAAACCCCTAACCACACTGTTGCCAACTATCAATATTCAACCCCAAACATTGTAAGCACAACCTAGCAATACCCAACTCCCCATCCTTGCCACAATAATGCCCACTCTAGCAAAATCCAACCCCCAAACCTTGCCACACCAATGCTTAACTCATCTCTCCATGACAGTCTCTAAATATAAGCCACTTTTATCCTACCCTCTGATATTAATTACCTAAAACTATAAACAATTCTAACCACTGCAGCTGTACAGAAGGTGTAAATTACCCAGAGGAAGAATTGATATACTGTTTTCCTGATACTCAATACCATGGAAATACAAGACTGGTAATTGGCAACACAATCAAAGAAATTTCCTGTGTTTAGTTCACAACATCATTTCTATATGTCCTGGCAACAGGTAAATCTGTGGATGTTCTACATGAATCAGTCCTATTTAGTGCAAGAACACAAAACATAATGTGTTCACAGTGCATGGTGGAGTCTGTCTGTAATACATTTTTTCAAGCAAAATACTTATTAAGCAGCTACACTGAGACAGAGCTCATAACACACATTGAGAGTTTCCATGGCACACTTTCAGTGAACACTTACTGCAAATCAACCTAAACCGGTATAAACTGTGAACCTATCTGGGCCAGCCTAGACTGTGAATCTACCTGTACCAGTCTAAACTGCAGTATGTGTGAGGGGCCATTTTATTTGGCAGACACCCTGCAGGGTGCTGGATAAGGTTATGTTTTGCTTGGCTTTTGTCCTTATACTCCTCTCTACTTATTGTCAGTATTACAGCATGAGTTGTTTCTCTATATTCTTAACTCAAAAGTTTGTTCGTTATTTGTACAATTCACCTACACAACCCACATTGTTTTTACTTGACAAAGCAATAATAAGTCTACGGTATTATCACTTGTTTGCTAAAAAAAAAAAATCTTAATAACATAACATGTTACTTAGTTTGCATAATGCTTCAGTCAAATTGTTTTTTTTTTTTTGTCTGTGTATGTTAAAATTAGCTAAAGATGCAGTCTTGGTGGAATACCAAAAAAGAAAAGAGCAATAAACCAAGACACAAAATACCTAGACAGATTTAATTAACAGTCTCAAAAAAGTACTTAAATAACAAAAAGTCAGCTAGAGACTGCAAATAGCAGCAGTATATTTGGTCTGACAAGTTCAAGAGCCTCATAGTCGGTAGTTTCCTTTGAAGAGAAGAGAAACAAGAGTGGGTAAAATAAGGCTGCATTCGCAGTATACTAACACATCCACCTATTTGTTCCTGGTGCTGAGCAGTTTTTATAAATTTATATTCACAAAATATGTATCAAACATTTGAATTTCCAATGATTAATCTTGTGGTGCGTAAATCTTTGTAAGAGAAGAAAGTTTTCCACATTTTTTAATCACTTTTCCCATCCACATATGTTAATCACTCTTGTTGTTCACACAAACTGTGATATTAAATGGATAATACATGCAAAGAAGAGTTTTCTTACCCGTAATGTTTCAAAAAGTCGCACAATGTTGGGGTGGCGCAGTTGTGAAAGAATACGAGCTTCCCTGTACAGGTTCTTGCGAACATAACTCTCCTTGATCTTCTGAACCTCTATCACCTTGATGGCAACCTAATGAGTAAGAAAAAATAATTATATAATAAAATGTTGTGCTTTTTTCCTTGTTTGACTTTTAGGGGTGGGGGTGGGGAGGAGGTAAGACAAAGATGCAGTCTGTGAGGTGAATCACTGGCCCGGCTGCCAATGACAGTAAATATTGAGAGCTTGACAACAATGTCTTAATTGATTTCTAATTACAATAATGGGTTGTTTAAATTTCTGAAATATAGTTCGTCACTGGCCAAGTGGAGTTTTTTTTAGCTGTAACATGTACTCCAAATCTTCTTATAAATGTTCAGGCTAAATGTTGAATTTTTTTAAAATAAACTTTTGAAAATCTCTTGATTTAGTTCTTATTTGTAACAGCAAGCCTGTTTAAATATAAATGTGTTAATTTAGTTAATATTTTTTTTAAATTGGGCTTGGACCAGTGAATTTTGGTTCAGTCCAGTAAATTCTCAGATACGATGGTCCAAATGGCCTGTAAGTTGAAGATGTAAAGGAAGAGCCCACTTTTTACTTATTTTTATATCACAGAAATATCTTGGTAAAATGAGTCTCAAAAATTTAATTTACCAGTTGCCACAGAAAATGGAAAGGTAAATCAAAAGAGGCATGAAGAGAAATATGCTGGTGACATTTTTTCACAGAGAAATCATCCAATTCAGAGAATAGAATTCTCCCAACACAATGTGACATCTGCAGGGTGAAGATGGGTAAATTAATGCAATAGATATTGACTCTCCTCATAGGAGTGAAATTCCTTCCAAATTTTATTGATTACTGTATCTTTTATAAGGACCTGAATGACCAGCTCCTTCTTACATCTCTGTTATAAGAAGAATGTTGCATTTAAGAAGAATGTTGCATTATCTGACCTCACTACAAGGGTTTTACACATATGCAGCATGTGCAAGGTGTTAAAAATTTCCCTGTACCTTTATTGCCCACAAAATATGTCAACTGTCTTTAAAATTGATAACACATTAATTTCGTTCAATATCAATGTCTTTAACTGATGTTTTTCTTGATTTAAGGAAGTGACTGAGATAAGCACATATTTGGAAGTTGAAGAAAAGCATCAAACAGGACATAGCTTGTTTAGAAAATAATCAAACAGTGTAATATAAAAACAATTCTTCTTGATCAATGACATTAAATGTACCACCAACTGAAAAATGCAATGTGAGCAACACTATGGTTGCTGGACACAATGACTGTCACAGTGGAGGGCTCCCTAAACATATATCCCAGAAAAAAATGAGGTCAAAACTCTAACAGTGCACATGACTGGGCTGTTTGCACACCTGGAGCATTAACTTGCACCATAGAAACATTTTTTCTAGGCAAGAGTGCTGTTAGTAGCAAGCATCCACATACTAATGGGCATTCCTAGGATCATGATGTCACATGCCAGTGACATCTGGTTAGTAATGGACAAGGTGCTACACAAAATCCCCTGAAAACTGTCTGGAAATTAATTATATCTAATAATACATTTTTCATTAATGAAATTGTTTTATTTAGAAGAAATATGATCCTATATATATATATATATGTATATTGGATTTAAATAGCAAAATGATACTAAGCAAATTGCTATCCCTTATATTCAGGACCTGCCTCCACTATCGGCATCTAACATGTAAACTAAAACTGCACACCATATGTGGCAAAACTGCATATAAACATGCAGTGTTCAAGCGTATAAGTAAAATACAAGATATACATGAGCATATCTTCAAAAATCTCTCATAAATAATCTAAAATAAATTAGTTTGTTTTTTTATTAATTTTTTGATTAATTCCTCCAAGAAGAGCACCTTAATTTTTTTACTGACATCTCTCCAATCCCACCCCACCCAACCCCCATACACATGCATCAATTTACCCCAAGATCATGGGATACTTTTCCAACACCTTGACTGACATAACAGTAAGTCAGTACTGTGTTGGGTGACTGTTTTCATTCCACTTTAGCACATCTGTCTAATCAAACACACTGAACCATGTAAACACTTCATTGGTCGTGACAGACACCCTCACTAAGTGATTGGCCAACCACTCCGTACCTGGCACGTGCCGCACTACAATTTATAGCATAACGTTACACAGCCATGTAATCCCTTTCAGACCTTTTTTTTTAAACAGCCATTTAAAGTGACTGAGTGTAGTTAGTAAAAAGTGTTTCCACATTTTTCAAGTTACTCAGACAGAGGACTCCCAAGTAAGGAAGTTAGGAAGCTGTCAGTGGTAAAAAGAGATAGGGGCACAACTTGTTTTGCAAGGGCATCATCTGATTTATCCCTTGTCCTTACTAGGGGACGTGGCACATGATGTACTTAAAATGTAATCTGGCAAGTATTTTTTATCTAAAACACAGGTCACCCGTTAGAATGAAAAAGATAAATGGAAATGAAGTTATTTCTGTATTTAGTCTGAGAAGTGAAGTCCTAATAACTGTCTATGGGGGTGGATCTACAACTGATACAAATCAGCTAACCTTAAATTTGATGTCAGTTCATGTGAGGATAACAATACACAGATATATACTAAATATTCTGTGGAGAACCAAGCTAATGCCCATCTGAATGATCATATATTCGTGTTTCAAGACTGTTTTTATTTGAAGATGAATTGAAGATGAAAATAAATTCACTTCTCATTCTGTAATAATAATGGTACCAGTAGAAAAAAATCTTCAAAATGTTATAAGCATATGAAATTATGTAGGAATAATTAGTCATTAATATTATTAAAATTATAACAATATGAAGGTATGAATTATAACTGGCTTCTCCTCAGTGCAGTTTGACCCAAAACAGAATCATCTTGCCACAGGTAGCAAAGCTTGACCAATGCATGCTGCATCACAGGCCTAAATAGAATTTTCACACTTGTCACACCTTCGAGAGGGCACGGCCCCACTCTCATTATAACTACATAAAAGAAACTCCACCGTTATCTCTGCTAAGTTATTCTGCATAGCATGCAACTGAAGAGGATCCAAAATGCACATGGAGTCTTCCAGACTGGGATCATTATTGTAATTAGAAAGCAATAAACACATTGTTGTCAAGCTCTCTTTGATCATCAAGGTGACCCAAACTGGTCCCAGGTAGAAAAAGAGGAAAGAAGAGTGAAAGAGAAATTGGGGTTACTTATATACATAATTGGGTTAAACACTCAGGAGTACTTGTATGAAATAAAGAGAGCCCTGTGTACAAGACCTGCCTGTCCTGTTTTAGCATTTAATATGTCTTTCCAGTTATATTTCCAGCCTTCTTTTCTAATTATGGAAAACCATATTTAATGTTACACTCAGCATGCTGCTGCGGCATGCCTGTAATCTCCACACACCTAAATGTAAGAAAAACTTTAAGCTCAGGTGCTGCTTCCCTTTGATAAATAAGTGTCAAGAGAAGTGACCCTGTGGCCTATAAAGACTTGAGCTATTGAATAGAAAAAAAGAGAAGATAAAGAAAAGAAAAGAATTTCGAAACAAAAATTAAACTTTTCAACTTTTTCAACCCAGGCAGGAAGCCAGTCGGGCTGGCAGCTGCAAGAGCTGGGAAGTATCATCTGTCATATTTGCATGTCAATGAGCAAAGCAGCCGTCTGGCACACGCCAGACTGCCCTGTCTTACCCGCGGTCACTCCACTAACATAAATGCTGTCCCACTGCATGGACCGGGCCTCCTGTGTTATGTGTGTAACACAACACCTCCATGACACCCAAAACTGAAGTGCTCCAACTCCATACCTTAATTGGATAGACTGCTCCGCCTGCTCTGTTCATGTTGAAATGAAATTTTAAACTGGCTCCAGTTTTGTAGGAAATAAAAATGCCATCAGTTTCTGTCATGTACAGTACTGGAAAAGCCATTTATTCCTCACTCTCTAAATTAACACGGGGTCCCTAGAGTCCTCATCATTATTAAGCTGCTAAGTTCTACCAGTATTTTTTTCTCTTCATAAGACACAATTATGAAAAGGACAAATACTTAATTGCTTCTCATAATTAAAAAAAAATCTCGATCCACACCACCTTCTCACATTAAGAAAGATAGATGACATAACTGAGGGGAATGGGAGTGGTGACAGAAACAAGCTGACCACAGGCCAAAATAGTCACACAATGGTCAGTAGGTTAAACATATACAAGTTATTCAGGGCCAGTTAAAAAAAAAATTAACATTTTAGAGCAGAAACTTTCTGCAAGGACTGTTTTTTTGCCAGGTACCTCTTGAAGTCAAAATAGCAGGTAGGAATATGAAACAAAATTTACATAAGGTTACAGTGTTGAGGTCAAATGTAGGGTCAGCTAAGACCTGCTAAGATAAATAGGTCATTCCAAGTCAACAGCAAATATTGATTTATTTAAAACTCACTTAGCTAATGTTATGGTGGTCCACTGCAGGATTCCTGGTAAGCTGATCAATTAAGTTAATTAATAATCAAGCTTGTCATAAGACATCTACATTTTTATTTTCAATGTTAACATAAATCGGAAATATATCACAAAAAACCATTTTCTTTATAAAACTCATCTTCATCACTGTCTTATCTTTTTTTTTAGAAGTATTGGCAGAATGGTTTCAATCGAAATTCCAATACTCCTTCCACATTTCAACATAAAAAATATGTCCCTGATGGTTTTAAGGCCCAGTTGCTGAACACAAATGTGTGAACACAAGTCAGTGTACTAGTAGCTTGCTTGGTTTACAACTCTGAAGGGGTAGGCAGAAACTACACATATGGTGGATCATGTTATTGAAAGTATTAATGACATCCATGGGGAATCGGTAATTCACATTATGAGCGTATGCTAAAAATTAATATGGATTTAGAGAGAGCAAAAAACATTGTTTTCTGCCTCAAAGATGTATTGGACTTTGCAGTTGCAAATACAGGAGGAGGGGAAAGGAGGGGGCCTGCTGCACAATGCCAATGTACTATTATGGCAAAAGACCAGTGCAACTAAGCTTGCAAAAACATAAAAATACACTTAT